TAATCAGAGTTAACACCATTTCTATGCCATTCCTGCAGTTAAAGTCAGAATTTGATCGGGACACTAACATTTCTTATGCAAGGACCATGATATGTTTAATGACTAGGCAGCATCACGCTTTTGGCTTTAAGTGTGTCTTTAGTACCATCTCATCTTCCCGCTGTGGTAGAGAGACCAGCACATCTCTGGAATTAGAGAGGCAAGAGGTCTTACCGCTCGTGAGTTTTCCCGAAGAGCCAAATCACTGCCCAACTCAGAACCAAGGTATCTAGGAGATGTAAAGCAAGTTTCATGGAATTTTAAGAGCTTATAACTTCAAAGTCTCCCCCCAAACTTGATACCTAAAAGCAGAGAGACAACGATCCCTGTGGTCAAAGCAGAGAGACAATGATCCCCGTGGTCAAAGCAGACCGTGAAGGGTTGAAGCCAGGTGGGGAAGGGAAGCTCCCCGCTGTACTTTGAAACAAATGAGGTGATGGGGAAAGGATTGCTACCGTACCGTCATGTGTATTTTTGAGCTGTCTGGCCCATCCACACCTCCCTCTCAAGGGAGGAACAGGAGATGGATTAGCACCTTCCATTAGCCACTTTTGGGGCTGTTTCTAGGCATCCAACACAAGGCTTCCCCGGCGTCCCACAGCTAACCTTAACCTCCCTGCGATCCCTCCTCTCGGCAGGCGTGCACCCCGAGGAGTCCCCTGCGCAGGAAAAGCTGAAGGGCGAGGGGGATGAATATCCCCAGACAAACCCATAGCTGCCCTCGCCACTAATTCAGGAAGGAAACCCCCTTCTCCCAGCTCCTCGTCATCCATTTACACAGTTCTGCTCTTCTTAACCTCACACATTTAAGATAGGAACATTTTATAAGGCAAAAAGCAAAAATATCTGTATGCCATGACAACAATTCACTTTTGGGACCGCATTTACGGGCTGACTTGACAAGTCTCTGCATAAGCACCTGAAGAGATGAACTGAATTTTGGCAGTAGCGGTCTCTGCGCACAGGGAAGGCTCATTTCAATTTTACCCATCTTGTCGGTCTCTTTTTTGAAAAGGAAGGGAAAGATTTCTTTCCTAATGCATGAAAAAACTGAGAGGTGAGCAGATGCGCTTTACTAATTCTAAAGCCTTGTTTCTTATTATTGCATCCAATTCACAAATATTGTGACTACAAGCTTGTATCTATCACACACATTTTGACGGGGTAAATAATGAAAGAATATATAAGCCTCTAATTTTACACTGACTTCAATTCCCATTTCCATCAAAGACAGCTAGAAAACAGGAATAGAAACTAAACTAGTAAAAAAGAAACACTCTCTTCTCCATTTCTAACTTTAAGAACCTGAAAATTTAAAAAAAAAAAAATCAAAATAAACTCCTACACAGCTTTATATTTGCTCAGATAAGCATTTTTAGCATAAATGTCAAAACTAGTTCTAGGTACAGAGCACTAGGGTCAGTGCAGGACATGCATCTTGTAGGACAACATTTTTTAATGATTTGTGACCAGTGAGCAGCCCCCCCAGTAGGAAAAATAACTAAGTACATAATTGCAGAACAATATTTTAATTGTCAGTTTTAATCTAGGTTTCCTACTCACATTTAAATCACATTTTTTTAATCGCATTGATTTAACTCAATCAACCCTGCCCGAAGGCCATCTTTCCTGCATGCTATGAGCATACCAAGCAAGTTTTAACCGATTAGATAAATCACTGAATCTCATAACTTCCTAACAGCGATATATCAAGCCATACACAAGCCATAATTATTTTTTTTAAATAAGCATTATCTTGAAAACTTTGCAAAAAATAAGAAGCTAAGTAGACATTTCACCATCCTTTTTTTTTTTTTTTAAACCTAGGGCACATGATAGCCTGAAACCCAGCCAAATGAATTCTGCAGAAGACTTGCACGATCACTGCAAATATGCCTCTGACTCTTTATTGCCTTCCTTATGATGATGGGAATAACACTGATGCATTAGTTTTATTCATTCACATACGTATGCATATGTATGTGCATATACACACACACTGCAACCTTAAGGTGTTACACTCAAGAGCACAGTAAGAAAAACCAGGCAGCAATATTATGGACTAACCAAGAGCAAAATCCTGAATAATGGAACTTTCTAGCACAAACAGCTTTACAGGGACCCTCAGCATGGTCCCCGTTACTTCCAGTCGAAATATGCTCTTCTGACACTACACAGATTTTTAAAAGATTCCCATGATAGGAGGAGGATTAAAAAGCAATTAACCAGCTCTCATATTTCAAATGCAAAGCCATATTTTAGAACAGCAGACAGAAAAATATGGATCTCTCAGAACTCAAAAGATTTGTTATATTCCGTAAAAAAGCCCTTCCCGTGATACCTTAAAACGGCAATACCATAGTAGGAACCTACCCCACGGGGACGAGAAAAAGCATTGCAAATCCAATCCAGCATTGTATTATGAAAAAGCCCTGCAAATTCCAGGCAATCTGCAAATGATTTCCCCCTTCCCCACCCAAACATCTACTGCAAACTCCTACAATTGCAAGCGAGGACTGCAATAGCAGAAGAGATGAAAATAAAACCATTCCTACCTTTAACTTGAGTGTCATATTCAGCTATGATCTCCTTATCCTTTTTGAATTTTGCTGGCGACGTCATGTTTTCTTTTCCAAAAAGATTAACCTCGGAACAGATCCACCAGAACACAAGATATAAATGCAATTTTGCTCCTCTCAATGCAATGCCTTGATTTTCCGCTTGTCCTCCCCCCCACAAAAAGGAAAAAAAAAAAAAAAAAAAATCAGTCCATGGAGAAAGGGTGTGAGACAGAGCACAGCAGCAGCAAAATGCAGATGTTGAGATCAGTGGATGGAAGCGGCAGCAGTTTTGTCTCCCTGCACCAAAACCTTTAGCAGCAGCATCAGACTAGCGAGATCCTGCAGCCCCCAAAGGCTCTTCCTGATTGCTAACGTTAATAGCACAGCCAGGGAGTGGAAGTCCTTCCGCACAACATGTTTTGTGTGGGTTTGGTTTGCCTTTTTTTTTTTTTTTTAAAAATGTCCTCAGAGATGATGCAAATCAAATCCCAAACGAGTGCAGAAACGGAGGACAAGAAGCCGTTTTCTTTGGTTTGCTTGCCTGCAAATGCAAAAAA